GGCTTAGAGACCCATTTCAAGAAGGACAATAGAGAAAGGGTCATCTACTATGTGGGGAGGTGGATGTTCCAAGCAGGCATTTCTTTTAATGCCATTAACTTGAGTAGCTTCCAGGCTATGTTGGAAGCAGTGGGCTAGTTTGGGCCAGGGTTGAGGGCTCCAACTGCTTATGAGGTTAAAAGGCCAATATTCACGAGAGAAGTGGAGCTAACGAATAACTATTTGAAGACCCACACTAATGCGTGGGGTGTATAGGGTTGCACAGTAATGACCGATGGCTGGAGTGACAAGAGGCACAGAAGCATCATGAATTTGATGGTGAACTGTCCATTAGGGACAATGTTCAAGAAGTCTATTGATGCTTCAAACAAGTCCCATGATGCAGAGTTCATTTTTAAGTTGGTTGATGAGTGTATAACAGAGATAGGGGAGGATAAAGTGGTCTAAGTTGTGACCGATATGTATTCCACTAATATGACGGGCGCCAAATTATTTATGGAGAAGAGGCCACGTATTTTTTGGTCCCTTTGTGCAGCACACTACATAGACCTCCTGCTGAGGCCATTGGTAAGAGGAAGATGTTCATGACAAACATCGAAAAGGTAAAGAAAGTCACAATATATTTATGCAGTCACACTCAAGTATACATTTTAGTACTATACTAGTTTCTTTAGTAATTTGTTAGTTGTTACTTATTTTGAGTATTTTTAATGCATTAATTTATTGAGAATTTGAGGGTAATTTACTTAACTTAGGGATTTCTATGTTGGTCAGGTCCTAGCCATGATGAGGAAGTTTACTGAGAACAGAGACTTGGTGAGACATGGGGTGACTAGATTTGCTACCTCGTACTTGTCCTTGCAGTCTTTATTTCAGCAGAAGGAAAATAGATTACCATGTTTGTGTCTGAGGATTGGACCAAGTCCAAGTGGTCCAAGAAAGGTGATGGAAGAATGGTTATGGACATTATCATGGACTCAAGATTTTGGAACAAGGTCCAGTATGCCTTGTTAGTCTTTCACCCTTTGGTAAAGGTTCTCAAGATGGTTGATGCTGAGAAGAAACATGTTATGGGGCATATCTATAAAGCCATGGAAGATGCAAAGAAAGAAATCAAGAGATCTTTGGGGGATGAAAAGAGGCATGGGGAGTTTTTGAAAATTATTGAAGACAAATAGAACTACCAAATTGAGAGGCCCCTACACTTAGCAGGATTCTACCTTAACCCTACTCACTTTTACACCGATGTTGAGGTACATGAGGTACATAGCAGGATTGAGTTCATGGATGCTTTCAACCAATGCAATGTGTAGCTCAACCTTGATCCTGAAGTGCAAGATAAGGTAATGATGGAGTCAGATTTGTATAGGCTCACTAATGGATCTCTAGGTAAGGAGGTGGCAATCAGGCAAAGGTCCAAGATCCCTCCGGGAAAGTTTAGAACTTCTTCAATTTGATTTTATAATTTGAGTATTGAATTTCAATTAACCAAATGGCCAGATACCTAATTTACTAAATTACTACATTCACATTTTTACATTTACATGAAATAGGTGCATGGTGGATGGGCCATGGTGGAAGCACCCCTCATTTGAGTAGATGGCCATGAAAATACTAAATCTGACTTGCAGCTATTCTGGATGTGAGCGAAACTTCAGCACCTTTGAAATGGTAATGTGACTTATAAAGTTGATGTCATACATACTTAGCAGTAGACTAGTTAGTACTTAGTAAGTTAGTAACTAAGCGAGTTTTTTATCTATTAGGTGTATACAAAGAAGAGGAACAGACTAGTGCAAAAATGACTTAACGACCTAGTCTTTGTTCAGTACAATCAAAAGTTGCAAGCACGTCATCATCAGTTGGAGCACAATCATAGGGAGGCTATTAAAGCTTTTGATATTGATGACACATGCGAGTGGCTGGTTGATGTCAGTGATGATACCTCATCATCACTGACATCAACCAGCGCGTACCACTTAGGCTCAAACTCAAAGCCAAAGGAAGGGGAAGGGGAAGGGGAAGGAGAAGGCCCAGCAGGGGAAGGAGAAGGCCTAGCGAGGGAAAGCCGAGGCAAAGTGACATCAAGAGAGGATGAAGTAGATTTAAAGGAGACGAGGGATGATGCTCAATATGTTGAGGAGGGCGATGACTCTGATGATGACGGCATGGAAACATCATCATTAGATATTCCTCATGATCCAATTGAACACCCTGTGTGGTGATGTCGTTGATGCCATAGAGTTGTTTGGTTGATGACTTGATGTATTTGTTTTGTTATTTTGCCTTGTTGACTTTGTATATCGTTTCTAGTATAGACTTCTAGTTTCCTTCAATGACATTTGGGATTTAAGGCATTTCAATGTCTTACAAGTTACAATCTCTTTGAGACTTGTATTTGTAAATCTGTTATGTGATTGTAATATTACATTTTTCATTTATTTCACAAGTTTGGGGCTCTAAAATTGCCCAAAAAACTCCTTAAGGCTTAAAACATGCCCTAAGAACTCCCCTGTTTATTTGTTTTGGTTGGGGGGTTTCAATTTTGGTGAGGACACCCTGTCTCTGGGTGCCCACCTAAGCGGCCAGCATCCAAAACGCCTAGGAGACCAAATCCCTTTTTCTGAACATTGACAACATGGTTACCGGGATCTTCCACTCCAAAAACTCGATCTTGCGCTCCGAGACACGGGACCTTGATTTTGAGCGATTCAATGATATTTGGGATCTCAATTCAGAGAATTAGGGAACTCGATTCCTCATAAAAGGGATCTAGATCCCTATGCCAAAAATCATGGTTTCATGATCAAGTAGAACCACAGTTCCACCAACAAGGAACCAAGTATCATGTACTTTGGGAGGGAGAATTCACCTGCATATGTTTTGATCCAATTACAGTGGCGTGTGGATCTCCAATTTCTTAATACCGAAAGACTTTTTGAATACCATGATGTCCTACATAATGTGTAATACACAACCATACACACCTTGTGATTTGTGACACGTGTCTAATTTCAAAGAAAGGCAACAAGAATGGGCAAGGAGAGAGAAGGAAGAAGTTGGAAGAAGATAGAAAAGTTAGTCGTGTTGTGGTTCTTTTGAGGAATGAGGATGCGATCAATATGCTTCACTTCATTGGGGCTAGTTCATTAGTTCATGTCCACCTCCTGAAGAACTTCTATCATTTGAGTATTGGTCAACCAATTCGAGCCACTTGTGGGGTTGCCTTACGGCTGATGGAATATAATACATGCTTGGAAAATGTGACGTTCCTGTCGTATATATGTCATTGAGTCCCTAGCAATCCTCGCCGAAGGAGAAGATTAAGAATTATATACAGCAATGTCTTTCCTTTTTTCTTTGGTTTTGCAAAGCAGAGCATAGCTATTATGGCATTTCTTTTTTGAAAACAAAGTATCACAACTATCTTAAATGTAATCATGAATCGAAATTGAAAGAGAATTTCAATGACATGATTCTTGTTAACATTAGTACTTGGGTTGGTGACTTTGGATAAAGATAAATATATTCTTCATTGGAATTCGTCCCAAATTACAATAAATGGGAAAGTGAACTTCGGGAATCTCGATCCTATGAACAGCAGAACGCGATCCCACTTTATTAAGAAACATGCCCCTATGTAGATAAGAATCACTCTTCAGTGCAGATATGGAACACTCTTCCTGATAGCCAAGGATATCAGCCTTTTTGCCTGACCATGTATGGACCTCATTCCCCCTAACACAGAACTTCGAGCCTACCTCGCTTTGCGTTCTCATTCCCTATCCTGGATATCTTGATGCTCCCATTCTAGGTAACTATGTTTGACACATGGATGATTGCCCCGAAATATCACAATGAGCAAATTCAAAAATGCAGACTTCCATATAAGCACCTGAGGAAAGAAAACTACTTTTCCATTTATAGATCTGTATACAATTCTCAACATTTCTTAACAAAACCTTCAACAAACATAGAATCAAGCTTGAATGAAAAAATTATCAAAACTCATATAACCCACACAAATCAAATTCAAACAATACATTTCTTCATAAAAGAAACAATTTAACGCGATTCCCAAATCAAAAGAATGGTAGAAGAGGCATATGGTAGAAGAGCCATCCAGCTTTAGATCATATCCCAAGCAGCCCTTGTCTTAGAAAATCTTGCGCAAAACATTCCTTCCCAGTGAATAATAGAAAACTCATTTTCAAAAAATTGGCCTACAAAAGGCATTCATATTTGATGTAGGAATATAAAATACTCAAGGGTAAGAGAACATTTTCAGAACGCAGAAATGGTTTCAGGGGCATTGTCTTCGACACCTGATGTATCGTTTGCACCAAGAATCCAATAATCTTCTAAAAGGTTTAGAATCCTCAAATCAGGTAAGGCTGCTGGTGATCCCTCTGCTAAATACCCAAGAATGATAATTAAGTGAGCCGTCATTATTGAAACCTAAAATTACAAGGTAACAGCAGTGAAAGCCCCTGTAGAACTTGTTTGTTGTTGCATAGCGTCAGGGTTACTTAAGACAAATTCAAAACGCAAGTAAAAGTTAGAAACACGAGTGTAGTAAGTTGCAATTCCGAGAATTTGAGGGGAGGGGGAAAGGAACAATGTTTAGTTATTTGGAATTTTCACCTGACCGCATACTGATTCTATGCTATTTTCCCAAAGTATTTTTTCTACCCAATGGTAGTTTCCTGAAGTTAGTATCATACACTTATATCTTAAGTAATTTTTATGATAATGGTATTGCACTACAAAGAGATTATTGCCTTTCAATCACAATAAAATGCTTTTTCAGAATTATAAGGGGTAACAAAAACAGAATCTAATTAAGAGGATTGTACAAAGATAAAAGTTGCAAATAACATTTTTCCAGCAAGCAAAGAGCAAATGCCTCATCAGTCGATTGTTACTTAACATGATTGTGACAGATATTTTCTCATCATTGTGGTTTTAATGGGTATGAATAGGAGAAAAAAGGAACTCACCTTGGGGAACAATGCTCGGCATGAGCCACACCAAGTGCCGTAAAACTCAACAATCACAAGCCTTTCCCCAGCATCACTCAATGCATCTAAAAACTCTTTCGTAGAATGGATGTCTATCATATTTGGTCCTGCAGTCTTTTCCCACCATTTTGGCCCTTCCTTTTCAGAGACAAGTGCACGAACCTAGACATGAAAAGTTGACAATATAATATTCACGCATAAATAATTCACCACATGAGAACCTATAATAACATAAGGTGTTGGATTTGGTGATAGCCAAATCACCATACTCATATTTCCTTCTAAATATAAGGGTATTATGGTAAAAAGAGAAGGGGTTTCTTGGGGAGCAAGAAAGAAGTTCAAGGTAATCTCTACAAAAGAGAATCAAGAAAGACATAATACCCATCCTTTGAGGGTCACCCTTTTGGGGGTTATGGGAATGGATTTCCAAATATAGAGATTGGTCGCCAAGAGAGAGAGACATGGCCTCCGAGAGAGTGGAGGTATTCGTATGAGTTTTGGGTGGTTAACTTTCACTTCTAAAGAGAGAAAGTCCCTCGGTTACTCTCGAGGTTATCTTTCCAGTAGCAGTATTGCAGTGGGAAAGAAGGTATTGATCGATGGTGTTGCTCGATCGAGAGAGGAGGTTCAGAAGGGAAGATCGATGATGGTCTTTTACTGATGTTTAGAGATAGGTACTATCTCTTGTAACCCAAAACTATAATCTTCATCCTGATAGTGGATTTCTAGTTGCCGAGGGCATGGATGTAGCCCTACAGGGTGAACCACGTATATCGTGTGTTGTGGCTGTGTGTTTTTATGTGTTTGCTTTATTTCTCGCACTCGATTTATAGTTGTATTCATCTACTTCGCATTTAGCCAATCATGTACACGATCTTAGGTGGGATCCCAGTATTTGGGATTTCCGATTCCACAAGCTAAGCGGTCCCGAGAACCCCTACAATGAATTCCACAATGGACGCAAGTGAGGAGAAATCAATAAATCTATTCAATTAAGATCGTCGAGGCAATTATGGTGATTTTGCTATCAAGGTGGAGATTGTTGGATTTGGTGACAGCCAAATCACCATACCCATATTTTCATATAAAGATAATGGTATCATGGTAAAAAGAAAATGGGATTTCTTGGGAAGCAAGAAAGTAATATCTATATAAGAGGCTCAATGAAGGCATACTACCCATCCTTTTTAGGGTCACCCCCCTTTGGGGGCTATGGGAATGGATCTCCAAGAGAGAGGCAGTATTCCCATGAGTTTTGGATTGGTAAGGCTAGAGAGAGAAAGTCCCTCGCTCTCGAGATTATCTTTCCGATAGCGGTATTGCGGTGGGAAAGAAGATCAGTTTTCCCATGAGTTTTGGGTTGGTAAGGCTAGAGAGAGAAAGTCTCTCGATTGCTCTCGAGGTTATCTTTCCAGTAGCGGTATTATGGTGGAAAAGAAGGTATTGATCGATGGTGTTGCTCGGTTGGGAAAGCGAGTTTAGAAGGGAAGATTGGTGATGGTCTTTTATCGATCTTTAGAGTGAGGTATTATGTCTTGTAACCCAAAACTTTAATCTTCATTGATATAGTGGATTTCTACTTGCCAAGGCCGTGGATGTAGCCCTATAGGGTGAACCACGTAAATCGTATGTTATGGTGGTATCCTTTTTATGTTTTCTTTATTTCTTGCATTCGATTTATAGTTGTATTCATCTACTTCGCATTTAGCGAATCATGTACACGATCTTGGGTGGGATCCCGGTATTTGGGATTCCAGGTTCCGCAAGCTAGGGGTTCCCGAGTACCCTACAATCGGTATACACAAGGCTTCGATATAGTGTCACAAAATGAAATTGTTCCTGGTGATTTTTTGGCTGAAACATTTTTTTCTGTTTTACTGATATTCCGAGAAAGGAATAAATTAGAGAGAGAATTTGCACCAAGAACACGGAAAAGGGGTGTTCTTCGTGAAACAGGGTATCATGGATGTGGTGTAAGCACTTTGAAAAATGTAAATTACCTACCAAAAAAAAAGTATAAGAACAGGCTAAAGTGATTTTTGAAGGGGAAGAGTGCCTAAAGAAACAAGACATCTATTTCAGTGAAGAAATAAAGAAAGACAAGGTATCCATGAAATTGTGCAAACTCATCATTGAATGGTCTGAATTCCACCACCTATTTCCAACTTGCACCTCTGGATCAACTGAGCAAACATCCAAATACAGCTAAACCATCGCGAAACAATATGAAAATTGAGCTCAAGCACAAAAGAAAAACAAAAAATTACGACGAATTTCATGGATAGTTTCTTAGTAATAGAAACCCCATAGACTAAGTTCAACAAGTTCAATAGAGATAAAAGGAAAACAAGAAGCTAACAAGCAGGGCTCAACAGTAGGACTAAAATTCAAAACCAGGCAACTGAAGAAGGATCATAACAGAGAGAGTACCTTGAAAGAACAAGTTCTACTGCGGCTCAAGATGAATTTGGCATGATTCCGTGGCTGAACATACTTAGAGAACGATGGGTACCTTGATGAAAATCCTTGATGATAGAAGACCCTGGAAGAATTGGTGCAAGAAATAGGGAGGAGCAAAGGATAGAGAGAAGCAGAGGAGTGAGAAACTCCAACAGCATCCGCCATAGATATCCCGCTCAGCAATTCAATCGCCCTTTTTATCCATTAAGGCGACGAGAGAGAAAGGGCTTGAGGTCACTTTACTTGGACAAAGGTTTTGTGATTGATCGTGTGAATGACGACGATCCACACGCTCTCGTTGTCATGTACGGAGGTCCATTTTTCTCGCTCTATTTTTAAAGGGCCAAACGATACGGTGCTTCCGAAAATAAAATTTTGGAAAATTACCACAAATATACTTTGTCTATTTAGAAACAAAAACTTTCAATTTCATAAACCTCGCCTGTACGGTCATTTAATTAACACGCTCAACGAATTTGTTATCCAGTTCACATTTATCGGTTTCATCTCTTTATTTATTTTTTATATTTATATGTTTTTTCTCTCTCCAAATTTTTTTAATATTTATCTCTTTTCTATCTCTAAATTTTTTTTCCCACTAACTATTTTTCTCTCTCTACTTTATCAACTCATCTCTCTACTTTATCAACTCAACTAACCTGATACAAATCTATTTTTCTCTCTCTACTTTATCAACTCATCTCTCTACTTTATCAACTCAACTAACATGATACAAATCTTATGTTTATCTTTCCTTCTCTCACTAATTCTTTTTAATAATATCTCTTTTTTCTCTCTCTAAATCTTTTTTCTCGCTAACACTCTTTCTCTCTCTACTTACTTCATCAACTCAACAAATACGATTCCAACGTGATACAAATCTGACTCCATCTAATTTTCATACGAGATGGGATTGAAGGGAGATTTTATAAGGGATGGTAAAGTACACACATGTTGTCAGACAAATCTCCTCGGAGAGAGAAAAGATTTAGTGAGAGAAAAAAGAGATAAAAAAAATTAGAGAGAGAATGAAGAGATAAATATTAAAAATAATTAGAGAGAGAAAAAAGAGATAAGTATTAAAAAGAACTAGAAAGAGATAAATACTAAAAACAGAATTAAAAAAGAAAGAAGAGATAAGCATAAAAAGATGAAAGAAAAAAATATAAACAATGAAAGAGATAAATATTCGGCATTTCCAGTGTTTTCGGCATTTCCAGTGTCATATAAAGTTAGTTTTTACGGTACCCAATAGGTTAGTTTTAACGGTGGTTTTATTGTATTTAATGGTTAGTTTTTATGGTACTTAAAATGTCATAAAACATGGGTTAGTTTTTAAGGTACTTAAAATGCGATAAAACATGGTTAGTTTTTAAGGTGCTTAAAATACGGTAAAACATGGGTTAGTTTTTACAATATTTAAAATGTCGTATAACATTTTAGCAATGTTCACAAAATCAACCGGACATGGGCTTAGAAGTGGTTTAACAGGCCTAACTGGGTTCTCACTAATTGGGTTGTCAAAAAATAAAAATATAAAATATAAAAAAAATCTACTAAAATCTAAAAAAATATAAATAATGATTAAAACAAAAAACATTCAAGTGAAGTTGAATATTAATGAAAAAAATAGATTTTAACCCATTTTATATTTTTCAATGGCTATTTTTAAAATTTTCTAAAAAAAGTGAGAAAATAAAAAAGTGAGTATTAATGACCAAAACAATTTTTAATCTTTACCATAATGTAAATAATATTTAAAAATACATTACAAATCAAATTCTTTATTTTTGAGAATTTATATACATTTTTTTGAATTTTTTTTTTAAAAATACCGGTTGATCACCCTAACCGCCCAAAACATAAACCGCCCACTGATCGGTTCCGATCTAACCGGGCGGTTAGCAGTTAGATCGGCCGATTTTGCAAACAATGCATTTTCGTTTCTACGGGAAAGTTAAAGGTTTTTTTTCTAAATATACGAAAATTAAGGATATTTGTGATAATTTCTCTAAAATTTCCAAACGGAAAAAGTTTATATAGAGTTAGGCTCTAAACAATCAAATTGGAGGTCACCTCAAAAATTTCACTATAAGAGGTTGTTTTGATACCCAAATATCTTCAAATTGATCATCTCGACATCAAGATGCATGTGCATGAGAAAAAAATGGATTTTAAGTATTGAAAATAGAGTATTTTGTAATGCATTTTTGGACCGTCAATTTCTAAGATTTTTAAGTTTTCATAGATGTTTCGATGTACACTATTTTTTAAGATTTAAACTTTATAAATAAATATAAAAATATATTTTAACACTATCACAAAGATTTCCAATATTAAAACCACATTTCTCGATACTATTTGAAGGTAGGCTCTAATTTGATTGTTTAGAGCCTAGGCTCTATACAAACCTCACCCTTAAAAGATTAGCTTCTTGATATTGAATTAGGGACTTCTAATTTTTCTAGGGCAAGATCTAAGTACTGCAGTACTCAAAATCCATTTTGTTTTTTAAATGATCATCTAATCATCTTCCATGACATAAGTGGAAGTACCAGCCGGCAATTATGCATGCATGGTTCTTCTTAGGTGTAAATGTTTCAAGCGGATGATGTGCAGCTACCCGACCTGGTGTGAATGAACCTTGATCTAGGATCTAAGTCGGTAGAACTCAAAATCCATTTATTTTTTATTGCAGTTTCTATAAGGTTGCAACCTTAAACAATCCAATTAAGGCGCAACTCCAAACTTTATCGTAATATGTAATTTTGGTGTTAAAAATTCTTAGAATTATCTGAAAAATCTATTTTTATATCTAATTATAAAATTTTAAACTCTAAAAATAGTTAAAATCAAGTAGATCTATAAACATATGAAAATCTTGAAAATAAAGGGCCTAGATAATGTTTAGAAAGATGCACTATTTTTGGGACTCAAAACTTTTTCTTTTCATATTCATACATCTTGATGGGGAGATATCCATTAAAGGGTTTTTCAACATTAAAACAATATTTTTCGATGGATTTTTGAGGTACATACGTAATTCTACATTTTAAGTTTTAATGATCATCTAATCATCATTAGTAGGATCTCAAAAAACCAAATGTTAAACAAAATTTCAAAAATATCTCGTTTGCCATGAGATTTAATGTACAGTATGATCATGCGGGATCATACTATTATGGGAAGGAAATTCGAGTCCGTCTCACTTATCGAGGGAGCGGTTACCCCTAAGTAAATATCATGTCGTACTCAATTTTGAAACACGATGTTTTTAGGGAAATTTGTCCATACACTTCAAAATATGAATAATTTTTTGCCATATAGCCTTGTGCAAACTCTTCTACCATTTGAAGGGTGTTTGTGCACCATTCCAACCGTCCACGACCATAGTAAGGAAGTTGTGGAATAATAATATATCGACAAACCAAAACAACGGTAATAAAATCAGACTTTATTTTAAAAAGTCGAAGGGAAAAATTAGGTAAAAAATGCAGATCGCTCAAAAATAGAGTAAGTTATAAAAATCGTGAATATTTCAGACTTGCTTCAAAAAATAAAGTAAAAAACTCGGATATATAAAAACAACGCAGCATAAGATTATGATTTGGACTTATTGTAGAATACATTGAAGTCATTGAACAACAATTTTATAGCCTTACCTAGTGTCATTAAGGTAATATTGGATAACATGTTGTCTAAACTCTCAATAAATCCAACAACAATGCTTATTATGTTGTCACAACACAAAACATATGATAGATTGGCGGCATAAAATGAAATGACAACGACAATAACTATAAACCAAGGTATATGATTATTGTTCATAGAAATTAAAAAAAAGAAAGACCCTCAGTATAGGATTGTAGTTTATTAAAATAAAGCACAAAGATCCAAATATGTAAAGTAGTGGCCCATTCAAAATGTTATCTTTGTATACACCAATGAAATAAAAACATAAAAAAAAATGCATGAAATTAATCAAACTTCTCCATACATAAGGAAAGCAACAAAATGCTTAAGCAAATTTGAATATGACATTGAATTCCTAGCCGCCTTGTTATGCTATTTATAAAGATGTTCCGAGTTTTAAGAAAACAAAAATGTTTTCATTTAATTACCATTCTTCTAACTCTACATATTATTGTGAGATATACGGCTATTTTGATGTCTTAGTTTTTGAAGGATATATTGCTTATATTTTTTGTACACTTTTTTAAGAGAACTTATTGATGCAATTTTTGATGGAATTTTTCGTTAAATCAAGATTTATAATTTAGTCCTACTATTAATGTATTTATCTTTGAACCAAAATTCAGTAATATTAAGTTAATGAATAAATAAATTTACAGGGAAGAAATGTTTTTTTAAGACTATTTTTACAAAAAGATAAAAACAGATTTATATCGGTTCTGTAAAAAAAACCATGATTTTTTGAAGATTTTTTAAAACAAAACTTGGAGTTCTTAATGGATTTCAAAAAAATAAGGATTTTTTAAAAAAACTTGTGTTTTAAACATAGATTTGCTAGCTATAATATGGACATGGTACTTTTCTATTTTTAAAAGTTTTCTCGCCACTTTGAACACCAAGTTTGAGTTAATTAGTGCATGCACTATGCTGCCCCAAGAGCATATGGTCCACTTACTCCCTTGGGAGACAAAGCTACCTAAACAATTTGTTTTGAACTAGGATTAACTTAATAATTATTATATGTATTACTTCAAAGAAAATTATTTGGATTGGGAGTTTTTCAACACTTAATTCTGGCTTGCTAAAGAATATACGACAGTTAGCTTTGCGATGTTATCTTTAGATCTTAAAAAAAAGTGAATTTTCTCTCTCTCTTTTTTTTTTTTAGAGATCTCAATACAAGGAGAAAATGTGAGGGGAGAGATGTAAATTTGAGGTCTTGATAGATGGAGGCCAGGGAGGAAACATGAGATGAGGATGGGTGTTTGGTTCTTTTGATGATGGTTAACTATGATTTGGAAGGGGGATTGTTGCTAAATGGAAAGATCCCCATTGTTGGTTATCTCTCCTCCTTTAAATGATACTTTTGGATTAAGTGATTGGGCTAAATGAGGTTGGGGTCTATCCTACGCTCTAGAAGTGAAAGTTATGAGGAAGTAAGGTCGTTTTTCTGCTACGGGTAAAGGAGGAGGTGTGGATGGCTTTAAAAAATCGTTTTTGTCGAGTAAGAGGTAAGCTTTTTTCTCTGGACCCATGGAAACCTTCAACTCACTTGTCTTGCACGAGTAAGGTCAGTATG